CCCCAAAACCCCAAAACCCCAAAACCCCAAAACCCCAAAACCCCATAGAATAAATAGTGAATTGAAAAATATACTACTAGATTTATTTAATAGTCATCTAATACGATAGCTCCTTGCTTTTTGTAAAACTTGTCTAACTTCTTCTTAATGTTCTTGGGAAGCTCATCATACTGAATATTATGAAGCTTTTGGTGATGAATCAGAATCTCAGGAGGAATTCCCTCAAGAATCCACTCATGTCTTAAAGCTTCTTCAGGAGACATCCGCTCCTCTGGGTCCCATATGAATCACTTACTACAAAAATCTAGGAAGAGTTCAGAGTCTCATTCGAGAACATCTCCAAGCTCTTTAGTATAAGGTTTCCTTGTTTTACCTCGAGAGTTTTTATAAGGAATTGGGGACCCATCTGTATTGAAGAATAAATGAGCTCTTTGGCCCTGATTTAATAGATCAACGCTAGGTAAACCTCATATTTCCATAATATAGCCGATTTGTTCCTTCTCATTTTCACCTGGAAATAGGGGGTAACCTCAGTATAATTCAGCTAGGACTCATCCAAAGCTCCACATATCAATTGGGTACCCGTAGGGTACACCAAGCATGATCTCTGGTGCTCTGTAGAACCTACTCTGTATATAGGTGTACACCCTCTCATCAATGAAAGTGCTGCTTCCGAAGTCGATAACCTTTAAGCCACTTTTGTATTTATTTTTCAAAACAATATTTTCTGGTTTTAAATCTCAATGTACGATCATTTCTGATTTCAGATAGTTGAGGGCATACAAAATCTGTATTGCAAACCTTCTGATCAAAGACTCCGTGACTCCTTCGAAGTCGTTGAGTTTTAAGAAATCGTATAGATTTATGCTGAGCAGTTCAAACACGATACAAACATGTGACCTGAATTCGAACGAATTAAGAATTCTGACGATGTTGTAATTATCGTCAGGATCATTCTCACGAAGATGAGAGAGGATCTTGATCTCGACTCCAGCTTGGTATCGAAGTTTATCCTCATTCCTAATGAGTTTTACGCCCACATGCTGCTTATTTTTATGGTCCCAACATTTCAAGACACTTCCAAAGCTTCCTTTTCCGAGTGATTCGATGATTTCGTACCTGTACGCAATATGGTCTGCTATGACTATCTTATAGCTTCCTTTATCGTTATCGAAGCCATTATTGTGCTCATGCCAAGGCCCTGCATTGATCTTCTCTGCTTTGGGTCCAACGAAATAGATTTTACGATACTTCAGGATTTCCCCTTTTTCATACTCACTCAGATTCTTAGAGTACGCCTTTATTCAATAACCTGGCTTCATCGGCCAAGTTTTCTTCGGGAATGAAGGTTGTTGAGGATTTGACTCTTCAGGCGACAGAGCACTTCCCAATGTCTGGGACTTGGAGTTACTCCCTGACATATCAGTGCTCTTTTTCATTTCCCTTCCAAGTTGGGAAGGTTTCTTCGCAGTCCGAGCTGTGGCAGATGCTCTCTCATTTGCCTTCATGACGCTTTCTGATAAGCTAAGTTTCTTCTTAGTTTTTGACGTAGATTCTTGACCATCTTTCATATCCTGTGATCTTTTCCTATTTTCTCGATATTGAAGCTTATGCTTCCGACTTGTCTTCTTTGTGTTATCCAATTGAGTGGACTCTCGAGTCTTTCTTTCTATCGAACTAGGCTCTGGGATAGTATGGGTATTGGTTTTCTGAGTCACATTTAGAGAATCAGGAATATCCTTCTCTGAAATAGTCACCTTCCTACTTGTCACAGACTGAAACATGAAATTATTTGGGACTGTAGTATTCTGTATTCCTAGCCCTTTAGGAATCATAGCAATTGCCTTTTGGAGCTTTTGCTTACTCTTTAAACTATCATTTCGATTTTTCCCGATTCTTTCTGGCACACTGCTGTTTAATTGAGGGAGGTTCATATTTCTCACCTTCAAATTTACCTCGCGTCTATCGCTCTGAAGATTCTTGAGGAGTTTCACTTTTGATCTCCTAGTAGAATTGAAGTTTAGCAGATCCTTCTTCTGAACCATTGAGATTGACTCCTTAGAGACTTTTATATTCTTACTCTCATTCGTCTGATTTAAATTTTGGAAGTTATTTGTAGCACAAATGAGATTGAATTTATCCCCTTTCACATAATTCCGAGAGGTCTGCATCCTATTTGATGGAGTCTTTTCAAGCTTCTTTGGAATATTTCCTCTCAAATTTTGAGCATTTGTTTGATATACATTTGACACTAAGACTTTATTTAATTTCCTTTTATTCGCAAACCATGGGCCTTGAGCTCTATCATTTGAGCCATTTGAGCTCTTGTCATTTCTTCCTTCATTACTTGCAGTTTGGTTCATTCTTCTTTTGACTGACCTTTTACGACTCTTATTTGTAAGTTTCTGCTTTAAAGTTTTTAGCGAACCCTTCGTTTCAAGTGTTCTAGCAGATAAGTTATGATGGTCGATAGGTAATTCATGAGACTTCTCATGAGGGCTCTTAATTAAAACAGTAGAATTATACAACACAGGATTATTCCTGTTTGTACTCTTCTGTTTTATCTTCAAGTTAATCCTTTTCTTTCTCTCTACAGATTGAAACCCGTGCGGAGCACGAGGATCAGATTGCTTGTAGAAAGCAATAGGGTCAACCTTTTTATGTTCTCTTGAGAGTTTTAAATTCCTATTATCCTTTAACTTATTGCCTGTCTGATTCTGCAAAATACTGAGCAGTGAAACCTCCTTCTGGTTATACTTGATACCTCTTGCTTTATTAACCCCAAGCTTTTTCTTTATGGTTAATTTAAACGGAACTCTTTTTCTACTTGTAGTCTGACTATATCCCCAAAATGTCACTTTTCTTAATAAATCTCCAAAATTTTCTTAAAATTTTGGACAATTTCCCGTTGAGAATTGGAAATTGTTCAGTACAATAGGCAGGTTTTAGGGATTAGGCACTTACTTTAGGTTTCTTCTTATCATTTATAATTTTAATATGAATTTATATAATTCAACTTTTTGGCTAGAGTGGGGTTTTGGGGTTTTGGGGTTTTGGGGTTTTGGGGTTTTGGGG